TGTATTAGCGATCTTGCACAGAAGTTGGTTGTGAAGAATAAATATGAAGTGTATCCATTAGTCTACAAACTTGTGACACTAACCTTAGTTCTTCTCGTGGCTACTGCTACAGCCGAGAAAGCATTTTCTGCGATGACTTACGTCAAAAATTGTCTGCGCAATCGAATTGAAGATCAATGGTTGAATGATAGTTTGATTGCATATATTGAGAAAGATGTTTTTGATAAGATTGAAAATGATGTAATTATTGAACGTTATCAAAGTATGAGAACACGTAGAGAGCAATTGTAATAAGATATATCTTATTTTAATTTTTTCATCACTTTTTTAAAAGTTCGTTACTGACCCCCTAGTCTAAAATGTCTGCGTCCGCCCCTGGATGAGTATACAATGCAGTTTGAGTAGTATAGTCTTGTGCTATGAAAATAAAAATAAAATAAAAAAACTAGGTTATATATTAGTAAATTTAAGGTTGGCTACATAAATACGTTTCACGACCCCATTGGATGTATCACGGTCTATAAATAAACAATGCAGTTTCCCTTTCATATTCCATTATTTTCCACTAATCTTCTTGGCTTCTAAGTCTTCTAGTAGGTGTCGGGACCTGTCCATTCTTTCTGCAGTACTACAAGACTTTTCTCTCCTGTGTATCTTCCTGGAAACAGTTGGATTCATCAAAGGAGAAGAAGAATGCAAAGCTCATTGCTTAATCTTGCCATTTCCTCTCCAAGGTCACATAAATCCTATGCTCCAATTTGCTAAGCGTTTGGGGCATAAAGGAATCAAAATCACACTAGCTACAACAAAATATTTATTCAAGACTATGCAACAATCTTCAGTTACTGTTTCTGTCGAAACAATTTCCGATGGATACGATGAAGTAGGATTTAAAGGAGAGAACGCAGAAGAATATTCATCTCGTTTTCGACAAGTTGGGACCGAAACATTGGAAGAACTTATCGAAAGGCTTAAAAGCTCAGGCTGCCCTGTTGATTGTATAATTTACAACGCATTTCTTCCGTGGGGTCTTGATTTAGCCAAGAAACTCGGATTGCTTGGCGCCGCGTTTTTCACTCAGTCTTGTGCTGTGGATCATATATACTACTGTTGGGGATCCTAGGAGTTCAAACAACCAAAACAACAATCAACAAACAAGATTCAAGGCAAAAAAACAAGAAAAACGGGAATGGAAAAATACAACCCTTTTTCAGCCGATTTCTGTCCAGCTTTCCTTCCTCCTTTGGGCAGCTTCTTCTTCGATTTATGGGTGTTTTTCTAGGCTCAGGAACAGCCCCATGTTATGCCAATTGCCTTCCAAAGAGAGAGGGGAAAAACCAATGAAGAACCACCACCCTTTTTAATGAAAACTTAGAGCTCCACACTCTGCTGCTGCTGGGAATACCAAACGAGAGCTGCCCCCATGTTTTATATATAATGGTAGAGTGTACATAATGAAGGGGTAGGAAGAAAGACCATGCCTCTGCCAAAGGAAGGGAAGACCTTATTGTGTCAACCTCACTCCCATCAACTCACAACATTAGGTGGTGGGGTTAGGTGAACCATATCTTCACAATTTTCCTAGTTAATTTTCTTCTTTTCTCTTTACTTCCACTCAACGTTGCTTCAAGAACTGCAAGAACACAAGTAGAGGCTCTTGTAAGATGGAAGAACGCCTTATCATCTCATGAGTCTCTCGATTCATGGGCGTTCAAAAATCTCACGGATCATTGTAGATGGAAGGGCATTGTGTGTAACCCCGGGGGGTTGATTTCTGAGATAAACTTATCTGGTGCAAACCTCACTGGCACTCTTGACCAACTCGGCTTTGGTTCATTTCCAAATCTAACAAGTCTCAACCTCAACTGTAACAATTTTAGTGGGTCGATTCCATCTGCGATAGGAAGTCTTTTCAAGCTCACATTCTTGGACCTCAGCAACAATTTGTTTAGGGGCATCATTCCAGCTGAGATTGGGAATTTGAAAGACCTTAGGTCCATTAGTTTCTACAACAACAGTTTCACAAGTCAAGTTCCATATCAAATTAGTGATCTTCAAAAGCCAGAGTACTTGGATTTTGGGTTAAATTTTTTGAAATCTCCCAAATGGTCTAAAGTTCCGAGCTTCCCTTATTTGACGCACTTCAGTTTCTCCTTCAATCCAATTTTTGAATTCCCTGGTTTCATACTCTATTGTCGGAACCTTACTTATCTTGATTTGTCAGAAACCCTTTTGAGTGGCCAAATCCCGGAATCATTATTCATTAATCTAGGAAAGCTTGAATATCTTAACCTTACCCGTAATTCATTTCGAGGGCCATTGTCATTAAATCTAGCTAAGCTATCGAAGTTGAAAGATCTTCGCTTAGCAAAGAACTACTTGTCTGGTTCAGTCCCTGATATCTTCAGTTTGATGCCCAAGTTGCAAATCCTTGAACTCTTTAGCAATTCATTTCAAGGAAATATCCCATCCTCTTTAGGCAAACTGAGGAATCTTCAACGCCTAGACCTCCGTCTCAATCGCCTGAATTCCATTATTCCTTCTGAGCTTGGCCTATGCACGGATCTTACCTACTTGGATTTTTCCCTAAATTCACTCATGGGATCCTTGCCTTTGTCCTTGACCAATCTGACCAATTTATCATGGTTCGATGTGTCTTACAATAATATTTCAGGCCGTATATCACCTTATCTTTTCTCAAACTGGAGTCAATTAACGTCATTGCGGGTTCACTCTAATAGATTTACTGGGAAAATTCCATCTGAAATTGTTTATATGACAAATCTCAATCATCTTTTTCTGTCCAATAATTCATTTTCAGGGTCTATACCACCGGAAATAGGAAGGTTGCATAATCTGATTAGCCTAGACCTTTCAGACAATTTGATATCAGGTTCGATACCTCCAACAATCGGGAATCTAACAAAACTGGAATTGCTGAACCTTTTCTTCAACAATCTAACTGGAACAGTTCCAATAGAGATTGGAAATTTGAGGCCACTGAAGATTCTCGATCTCAATACAAACCTATTAAGTGGGCATCTACCAGAGTCCATCTCGAACCTTTGTAGCTTGAGCGTTTTTTCTCTGGCCTTCAATAATATTTCAGGCAACTTCCCATCGTTCAATTGCAGTTTAAGTTTCCTTGAACATCTTTATCTGGCTAATAATAGGTTGGAAGGGACAGTTTCGAAATTTTTAGGAAACTTTAGCAACAGTGGATGTAAACTGAAGGCCTTCAACTCAAATGGCAATCGATTTGAAGGAACGTTACCCCATACCTTGGTTAATTGTAGGCTACTCGAAGTAATAGATGTTGGAAACAATGACATAAGTGGTTCATTCCCCTTTTGGACAGAAAGTCTTCCAAACCTTCGAGTTCTTGTATTGAGTTCCAACAGATTCCATGGTACGATATCTGCTTCAAAGGCAACAGTTCCCTTTCCTAAGCTGCAAATTTTCGACCTCTCCCAAAATGAGTTCATTGGACTTGTACCAACTAAATATTTATTGCAATTCAAAGCCATGATGAATCGGACTGAAAATGAAGAGAGAGGATACTACAAAGATCCTTTTTCAATAGTGCGGAAAGGGGTTGAGTTTCCGTCAGTGAGAATTTTGAGAGCCTATACAGCCATTGATCTATCCAACAACAAATTTGGAGGAGAGATTCCAAGTTCTATAGGAAAGCTTAAGCTGCTACGATCTTTAAACTTATCTTACAACAGCTTCACAGGTTATATCCCTTCATCACTACAAAATTTGACTTTACTCGACTCGCTAGACCTTCGCTCAAACCAATTGGTGGGAGAAATTCCAAGGCAATTAACAAGGTTGACATTTTTGGCAGTCTTTAACGTTTCACACAATCATCTTGCTGGGCCGATACCTCTGCAAGGGCAGCTACTTACGTTTGATAATAGTTCATATGTTGGCAACACAAAATTGTGTGGATTCCCATTGACAAAGATGTGTAGAGATGAGTCAAATGACAGAAAAGAGCAACCGAAGCTTTCAATGTTGCCACAAGAAGATAACTTTTTAGATGGATTTACCTGGCAAGTTGTCCTTCTGGGGTACGGATGTGGAACGTTAATTGGTTTGGTTGCAGGATGTTTAATCTTTAAATATGAAAAACCTAAATGGCTTATAGAATTTGTTTTTGGATTTTACACAAAATAAAGGAATCCACAAAAGGAAGGCAGATCAAAGGTAACTTAAGTAAAGTTTGCTGCATAAGTCCTTGTAAATTTTACATATATTTCCTCTGTCCCATAAAGATATATTTGCTTTCTTTTTTTGTCTATCCCAAATTATAGACAACATTTCTTGTTGAGGGTATAGTTGATTTTTTATTTTCTAATATATCTTTATTTAATGTACTTTGTTATCGATAAATATGAACGACGTCCATTTAAATCATTAATTGATGTTGGAGTATATTAAAGAAAGGTAAGAAAAATTTATGTTTCCTGATTAGTGTAGTTTCTACACTTATTTGAGATCCTAAAAGATGATGTTTTACTGTTCTTTGAATAAAATACTACCTAAATTGTGTGATATTATTACATTTTGTGAGTAAAACTCGATGTTTGATGAGGAATTGGAGAAAGAAATGCAAAAAATAGTGAAAAATGGGCAAAATCCGAAATTTGGGGACTAAATTACAAACAATTCATAGATGAGATGAACGATGAATTGAAGATCAAAGATTTCAAGAATTTAAAATGAATACAATTGGAAGATAAATGAAAAATATTACAAGAGAAAAAGGCTGAAATGGAGGAAATTCAAAGTTCTCAGAATAGAGTGAAAATACTCAAAAGTTGTGTCGAACCTCACAATGAAGATTCGAGAGTGTTAGGATTTGACATAGCAAACATTCGAATTGAAATAATGATATCAATTTAAGAATTGTAACTCTTTGAGTTAGCTTTCCAATGTACTTTGAATCACTTCAGTTGGATATCGGGAGAGAAAGATATAACCAAATTATTGAAAGCTGTCTAGTGCGAAAATATTATACCTATGCGGTCGCATAGGTTTGATTAGATGCAATCGCATCTATACCTCTAGAGCTCTTGGGACCAGCTATGTTTTATTTGTGTTGTTGCTTCCATTTGTACTTTGCGACCGCATAACACTTTTTCGAGGCGAGATTTTGTTTCTTTCTCGAATTGAAATTCTACTTTGGTAATAATTTTTTGGGCATCCTATTAATACCATAATCCATCCAGAACATAGAGAGACCTTCCTAGACCTAAAAATTCATAGATTCAACATATTTTGGAAACGAAGATCGTGGCTAGATCATCAACATCAAGGGAATTGTGCAAGATTCTTGAAGATTATCTATTCAAAATCAAGATTTCATTCAAGAAAATTTATTTTTCTACCTTCTTCCATATTTCTTCGATTCGGGTGATGTTATTTTATTATTTCTTGTATAAAATAATATTTAGGATGGTTGGATATATTTTTCCTTTATATTGGATAAATGATGAACCTTATTGTTTGTTTATTTTAATTCAAGACAAATAATTTCGTATTTCTTGATTGGTTGATCACCAATTAAATAATAACCGCTTATAGTAATGTAGGAGTACTCATAATCAATTAACAGAATTCACAAATAAGCAACCAAGCAATAACCATGCATAAACCGGTAAGGATACCAAACCTAACCTAACGGAGAGTTTGGAATAATCTTACCAAACTACTGTTGACAAACAGTAAATATACCACCAAGTTTCTGAACCAAATTGCCGTGGACGTCAAGGTAGGGGCAAAATCGTCCAACTTTTTCTGTAAAATCTGAAACAAAAAACAAACGACATCAGTGCGTTCAGGACGTCAAAATAAGTAAACTGCCCGAAAAAAGCTCGCCGGAGCCACGCGCCGCCGCCGGTCACGCGCCCCACTACAGGGTGCGCCTCCTCCTGCTGGTCATGGTTCCATGGTCCATTTCGCCGGAAAGTCAATAGATTGGCCGAAAATCAAGTTTTCAGATTCGGTCAGAAAGTGGATAATGATACCTTTCATCCCACAAAAATACTTCTGTGGAGTCATTCAAATGGGATTCACTGAAACTCAGGTGCGAACATATCTGGTACATAGTATTGGACAATATCATTTGATCCCGTCCAGTACTGTATGTTGGGGATCCTAGGAGTTCAAACAACCAAAAACAACAATCAATAAACAAGATTCAAGTCAAAAAAACAAGAAAAACGGGAATGGAAAAATACAACCCTTTTTCAGCCGATTTCTGTCCAGCTTTCCTTCCTCCTTTGGGCAGCTTCTTCTTCGATTTATGGGTATTTTTCTAGGCTCAGGAACAGCCCCATGTTATGCCAATTGCCTTCCAAAGAGAGAGGGGAAAAAATCAATGAAGAACCACCACCCTTTTTAATGAAAACTTAGAGCTCCACACTCTGCTGCTGCTGGGAATTCCAAACGAGAGCTGCCCCCATGTTTTATATATAATGGTAGAGTGTACATAATGAAGGGGTAGGAAGAAAGACCATGCCTCTGCCAAAGGAAGGGAAGACCTTATTGTGTCAACCTCACTCCCATCAACTCACAACATTAGGTGGTGGGGTTAGGTGAACCATATCTTCACAACTACCATGCCTACAAAGGAGATGTGAAACTTCCACTTTCAGAGAGTGAAATTTTGCTTCCTGGATTGCCTCCATTGAAGCCCTGTGATATGCCTTCCTTTTTATATGTTTATGGATCATATCCTCCTCTAAAAGACATCGTTGTTAACCAATTCGAAAATACCGAGAAAGCAGACTGGCTACTTTTCAATACCTTCTACAAGTTGGAGGAAGAGGTAACACTGCTTGGAACTTTATTTTGGATTTCCTCTGTTAAATCTTAGTCTCGTGTCAAAATTAGGAACTTTTTACATTGAAAATAAGGTTTAGTTTGTTGTTGTAGTAAGAATCACATTATTTATGCATAGTTAAGTTATTTATATCATGGAATGAAGCCTAACAGATTCTTGCTACTTAGGTGATTGATTGGATGGCAAAGTATTCACCGGTGAAAGCGATTGGACCGACCATACCATCGATGTATTTAGACAAGCGTCTCAATGACGACAGAGAATACGGTCTTAGTTTCTATAAACCAATGACTGGCGCCTGCATGGAATGGCTCGATAAACGAGAATCTGCATCAGTAGTTTATGTTTCATTTGGAAGCATGGCACAATTAGGAATGAAGCAAATGGAAGAATTGGCATGGGGCTTAAGTATGAGCAATAAGTACTTTTTATGGGTTGTTAGAGCATCGGAAGAGTCGAAACTTCCGAAAAATCTCGCCGAAGAAACTCATGAGAAAGGGCTAATAGTGTCATGGTGTCCTCAATTAGATGTTTTGGCACATAAGTCAGTCGGTTGTTTCATTACACATTGTGGGTGGAATTCTATATTGGAAGCACTGAGTTTGGGAGTCCCAATGGTGGCAATGCCTCAATGGACAGATCAAAGCACCAACGCAAAATACGTTATGGATGTTTGGAAGATGGGAATTCGAGCAGCGACGGATGAGAATGGGATAGTTACCCGGGAAGCGATTTATCTTTGCACGAAGCAAGTGATGGAAGGCGAGACAGGCGAAGAGATCAGGAAAAATGCCATCAAATGGAAGGAATTGGCTAGAGAAGCTGTTGATGAAGGTGGAAGTTCTGATAAAAACATTGAAGAGTTCGTCTCTAAATTGGTCCGTTCTTAGTTATGATTCATTGTTTTCTTAAAAAAAAAAAAAAAAAGGGTTGAGCCACAATCTTAAGGGTCCCCCACCGCTCCTGTCCTGGAGCATCGTGGGGGAGGTAAATCACAGGTTATACCTCCAAGGGTATAGGGTGGAAGGCTGCTTGTACACTTGTACTTACCCAAGAGCCAAATCCATATTTCAGGATTCGAACCCTTAACGCAGCAGCCTCAAGCAAAGCTAGATTTCTCCACCCTCCCCTTTTACCACTTGAAGATGTGCCCTGGGGGGCTATAATTCATTGTTTTCTTACTATGGCTTGTGTTGGTTGTATATGTAAGATGTGGCCCATGTGGTTTTATAATTTTTATATAAAAATTACTTTAAAAAGTAATTTAACCTTTTAAGCTCTTCACGTGTCAAAAAAGAAAAAAAGGAAAATTTGTAGAATTTGTCGATACTTTGTTGGTCACGTTCCCGAAAGTCACAAGGCATAAGAGCGGAGTACATATAAGATTTCTTTGCTTTACTGTACAAGTGAAATTTTCCTTCAACGAAAAGAGATTTGTTACATGTAGTGTACAAGTGAAATTTTCCTTCAGAAAAATCGATTCGAGTCCAATATGTCGGCATGATTGCTCATCTTATCTATAATAGTGTACAATCCAGATCTGAGGCCAGAAGTGGTCACTTTTATAATTGCGTAATAGAATTCCCTTCAATTGACACGACCTAAGTTTATGCACAGTACTCGATTGTCAATGTTGAATTTGAAATAAAATAGTTTTATTATGAAAAGAAAATTAAAATTTTGTTTGGATAAAAAGGAAGAAGCCAAAATGTATTAGGAGTCTTCTTTACATATTAATACAACTACACGTTGAAGAACAATAAAAATTTAGCTGGTAATGATGTATGAAAAAAATAACAAGATACAAAACAATTTTGCAGTGAAAGTTCAAGTTGAAAAATTAAAGTGAAAATTTCAGATCTATTTGCCCCCTCTTCTTCCCACTGCTTTCGACGCGGCCAACTCTACCTATCGTGCAACATGACCAAAAAATAGTATGTGATATTTTTAAAAAGAAAGTATTTATTGATGGGCGTGTGCGGCGGTAATAATTTAACAGTAGTGATATTTTTTTTTTACATAGCCAAGGTGTGTGCGAAAGAGAAATAAAATTAGAAAAAGGAAAGTGACCATATCTTATTAAGAGCATTTTTCTTGTATGGTAATGATACGAGTTTACGAAAAATAAGAATTAATTGGTAGGGTAATATTGTACCCAAAATAAAATGTTACACCTTAAAGACAAATAAGGCATCACAAAGAGACATCCACCTCAAAAACTTATATGATGTAAAGCGAATGGTCCGATCTTGCAAATGGAAGATATAAAAAAGACAATCTCAATAAGCTTTTATAAAAAATAAATAACATGTGATAGCACAACATTAATTATGAAAAGAATTTTATTTTTTTATTTTTTTACCAGAAAGTGATATGTATGGTAATACAACATGAAACTCTTGTAAGACATTGGTTTTTTTTAATAAAGTAACATATGGTGACACAATGTCTTACACATTTAGGAGTGGGCGCAGTTCGATTTAGTCCTATTCCAAATGGAATCAAACTAACCGAATACCAATGGAAATTTTAAAAATGAAACCATTGATTTCATAGTTAGCTACGGAACCGAATCGGAACCAAACCAATCGATTCTGATTTGGTCAGGTCCGGTTCTCTACATTGAAAATGTAAAAACAAAATTTTCACTAATAAAAAATCTAAAGATGCATCAACGTGAGATTTTTTAACAAAATATAGAAGAGTCAAACATACTATTCAAAGATTAAAAAAAAACTAAGTATACAAATTTAAAAACAATATTCAAATAATATCAACTACTATCATCAAGCAGTCATCAACTTATATAAACTGCATAGTACTCTAATGATTAAACAAACTTCCATCAAAATCAAAATTCTACATTGAATTAGACATCCTTTAAAAATTTATTGCAACTTCTGATTCTGTCGATTATAAATTGTAGAAATCTAGGTGAAAAATTTCGATCGAATCAATAATTATGTAATCAAAGTGAGAACAAAATAAAATTTTCGCATCTTAGAAATGAAATTATATATTGTAAATAAATTTATTTAGGTATTAATTTACCCAATATTCTAATTTGACTTGAGAATCAATTAATTAAAGAATTATAAGAAGAGAGAAGGGAAGTGCTGGTGTCTAAAATTAAAATGGAACCCGAGTATTTTTTATAAAAGTGTTGGAAATTGAGCTTTATATTTTACCAAAAAATAAAATAAATAATCTATGAAAACTGCCTGGTTCCCATACTAAAATCGGGACCGGTTGGTTCTTAATAATTTGTCCCGAAATCGAATTATTTTTCAGAAGATTCGAAATCGAATTGGTCGGTTCTAAACGGTTCCGATCCAGTTCCATCGGTTCCGGGAAAAGATACCCACTCCTACATTAAAATGTTGATTTTTAATAAGAATTGTCATGATATGTTACTCGTGAAAAACGTTAATTGTTAAAAAAAAAAAAAAAAAAAATAATAATAATATAGGTAACACAACATGTACTCGGTAAAAATTTGATTTTTAATAAAAAAATATTAATTTTCAAATCAAAATTGAAATATTGATTTCAATTAAAATGAGGTACGTTTTAAAAAATAAAATAAAAATATGGATATTTATAAAATTTTCAAAGAAAAGTGAGGTGAAGGTCAAAATTGGCCAACTAAAAGAAGGCATTGGACTCTCTTTCAAATTGAAAGAAAGCCACTTAAAACTGTCTTAACAATTTCAACATGTAAACCATTTTTCCATATCACAAAAACAATTTAACGATTCATTCCGTCAACGCATTAATAAAAAGTAACTCTTTTTCAATTATTTCTTAATTTTTGAACATATTGAATTCCATAAAATCATAAGTCAGATCGACAATTTCGCGAGCCAGCCTGATTTAACAATTTCAACATGTAAACCATTTTTCATATCACAAAAACAATTTAATGATTCACTCTGCCAACACATTAATAAAAATTAACGTTTTTCCAATTATTTCTTAATTTTTTAACATATTAAATTCTATAAAATCATAAGTCGGATCGACAATTTCACGAGCCAGCGTAATTTCGCAGCTATAAAATAATGGTCTCGACATGATCCAAAATATATTTCTACCCAAATTAATTTGAACTTGTAAAGAAAAAAAAAATGAGCCCAACCTAAAATAAAAGTCGATTGATTCAAAGTATCCCGTTCATTTTGAAACTTTGAATAGAGAATCAATCAATAGGCCAAACATATTATTGATGAAGTTTCAAATATAAAGCCTTGGTTGAAAAAAAAAAATGTCAAATAAAAGACCTAGAAACCTTCGAGAAGATTTAGGCATGGTCAACCTAACACTTTTTACGTGAACACACCCCGTGCATGAACATGTTTACTACAAATTAGTCACGTAACTTTTTTTCAATCTTTGACCACATAAACATTAACATTTAACTTGGAGTAGAAGAAATGTTTTGTATATGTGTAGTTTGTCCATGCAATCAATTCGTTTGTAAGATAACGCTTGCCCATATGTATCAAGATACTTTCGTCACGTTATGATTAACATATATTTATTATTATGCCTCAAAATTGAGGCTTAGAAAAAAGTCCACACCTCAAATCGAGGCTCAATAAGCCTTGAAGCGAAAGCACTGTGTAAGTGGTCAAGGCCCTAAAATCGAAGCATTGTGTAGTGGCCGAAGCCCTGTTTGATGACCGAAGTCCTGAAGTGGAAGAACTATGCAAATGGTCGAAGCTTTGAAGCCTAAGTACTATGTAAGTGGGCAAGGCCCTGGCCGAAGTCCTGAAGTCGAAGCACTATGTAAGTGGTCGAGGCCCTTAATTGGAAGCACTTTGTAAGTGCCCAAACCCCTGAAGCGAAAGCACTGTGCGACTAGTCAAGGCCTCGAAGCAGAAGCACTGTGTAAGTGGCCAAAGCCTGCATTACCAAAGCAGAAGCCTCCTAATCATAATGGAGCATTTTCCATATTCACTTCTTCCAAGTGATCTTTTGCATAAAGATTTTATTTGAATGATTAATATGGTATTTGTAATGAGTATAAATGTCTTGTTTTGTCAATAGGATGTTTGCTATATGTAAGAACGTTAAATGCACTACAAGCTAGGATTAGATGCTTTGGTTAAGAAGATGAAACCACGTAGCTCCTCATCGAATGAACAACATCTCATGTGTATCACTATAAATACCCCTTTCTTATATCATCCGGGGGGAATGCAACTTTGACACTACAAACTACTCATTGTCTTCTCTCTAGTTGATGATACACTTGCTTAACTTGAATTTGGAATACTTTGATTTCTTATAGTTGTTTATCGGTTGTTAATTCCTATACAATCGTTCCCGAAATGTATTATCGGAGTCCGAACATATTTGTCTTGTGTCATAAAGCTTCTCCTCCGTCCAAAGTCAAAGTATTGTCGATTGGCAACCCATCCATACCTGTTGAATTTTATCTACATAGACCTCAACGGAACCCGACACATGTTGGCACATTTTTTGGGGGTCAACATTTATTGTACTTTATTATCCACACATTTTGAAAGGTGTTTAGTGAGATCTTCACAATCAAAGAAAGGATTGCAGACAATTTGACTAAATTTGATTATTGAAATACTACTTCAATCCCATGTTAGGGTAGTAGTTTGGCAGTGGTGCCACCCTCCGACTCAACCTCAGCCTTTTATTTTATTATAAATATTTTAAATATTTTAAATTTCGTTGTATTATTATTTATTACATTGTTTTAATTTTTTTAGTAAAGTCAGTACTCCCTCATTCATTAGATGGGATTCACAATTTATAAGCACTTGAAAAAGCAAACAAACAAGCATTAAGCTATATATGGCTTGTGGGATTATACCTATATAAATACATTACAAGTGATGTAATACTAAGCTTTGATAATGAATAAAAGTTACAATTTTTATAATATTATAGGAATTTAGAGTATGAAGTCAGCGCGGATTTTATCAAAACATTTTATCTCTACATTAGTTATATAAATAAAATTATTTCTTTTTCTACGAAAATTAAGACTATTTGATTCCATCTTCAATAATATATTATATTAAGTTAAACACGCAAGATTTAGATATCTCAACTTTTAATCAAAATTATTTCCAAGTTAAAACCGTGTGGAGGATCAAAATTCAAACTTCAAACTCTTAAGAAACGAGTCATGACTTTAATCTAGGATTCTAAATTCTAATTCAACATAAACATAGTAATATGATGATTAGTCAACTCACGTAGTCTAGTCAATCCACGATCTTTTTGAACTTTTTTTCCCGTTCTTTTCTTGACTATTTCAAAATTTATCGAGAGAATACTATTATTATACTAATAAATGGTTACTACAACGCGTCCTTTCTAGAAAACATTAGTACTTGAGAATTCGCAAAATGACTATTTAAAAAAAAAATGTCGTTAATGTTAAAATTTCTATAAAATCTAATTATTGCTTAGTAGGTTCACAACATTTGAGACAAATCTTAAAAACTTCAAGGTAAGATTTGTTCTACAAGACAGTTGGATAGTACGTTAAAATTTCTAACGATCTTGGAAAATAGTTCGACTAACTATGAAAATTTCAATTTTTTATAGAAATAACTAGACTAATCAACACAATTTCAATTTCCTAGTATACCAATAATTGTCTTACAAAATGAAATTTCTCTTAAAAATAGTATTTTTTTTTTTTTTTTTTTTTTTTTTTTTTTTTTTGGCTCTCACTAGAATAGAGGCAAGAGACGAGAAATCCCCAATTATCTGTCCCTCTAATTTCTAATTTTTTCCACTTCAGTCATTTAACAGTCGAATTGCATTATTAGTAAATGCTAGTGCATTCCACGTGGCAACATATCACAGGTGATACAACATTGATATTCTCAAAAGTTTTGGTAAACTCTTATAAAAGCATCGCAGCCGTGGATTAGTCTCAAATTATCTGACGGTCATACGAGAGATACCGGCTATAGTGGGTTTGGCCCCCGTTTGGCGGAAAAATACATTTTTCTTTTTTTTTTTTTTTCAATCACACATTTTTGATAAAATAATATTAAAAGTAAACTCAAAATTTTTCTTTAATTTTAAACCACACATTTTTTTAAAAATATTGTTTTTAAACATATTTTTCTTAAAATTTAATTTTAAGAACATCTTTAACATATTCTCTATTTTAAAAAGTATATTCTATCATTTGGAGAGTATTTATAAATTTAGAGAATTCAAATTTTAAAATACTCAAACAAGTTCTTTACATTTAACACTAAAAAAATATTTATTATTTTTCTCTATCTTTTATTTTAACTAATTTTTCTCTAAATTATTTTATTATTTTCTTATATTAAAAATTGAAACACTTTGAATACATTCAATGGCCCCGTTTGGTAATTATTTTTTTCAAAATGTATTTTTCTCTCTCTTTTTTTCAATCACACATTCTTTATTAAAATAATATTTCACGTAAATAAAAAAAAATTCTTATTTCTCGACCACACATTTCACACCTATTTACTATTTTAAAATATATTTTTACATAAAAATGCATATTAAACACCTCGAATATAAATAATAAGTTTGGAGAGTCAAAGACACCCTCTAAATTCAAATGTTAATTTAAAAAGTTAGTAGAAGCATAATTTTAAGAATTGGTTGTTTCAAATAAAAAGCATTTCATATTTAAAGAGTTTCGAAGACGCTCTAATGGAGCCGAGCAAGCATAGTTTGGTCAACGATTTCACATGTGATGTATCCCATTTAGTCAGCTTTTCTTATTTATAATATCTATTTTATTATTTTGATGTCAATTTATCGGGAAGAAAGTCTTTATTCTCGCATCGTGATTAAAACGTGGATTTTATTTGCTCCAACATGTTTATTATTCCCCCTATTTAATCTTGATCAAAATCAATATTTATACATCTACTTTATTCATTTATTATTCCGTGTAAGTGGCAAAGAAGGTAGCAATTGGCTATTTTATTTCTCGAACAAGTTTTACTTCTACAAGAATTTTATTTTCGATATAATTTACTATTGATAGATTATAATTGTTTGTTCCAATCATATTAATATGTGCATTATACATAGGAGATATGTGAATATGCGAATTTTTAGTTTACTATTTAATAACCAAGTAATTAAAAGTAATTTCTTCAATAAAACAAAAACGAACAAACTAGAGTGTCTTTTTTATTACATGACATGTCCCTACCACAAAACAAAAATGAACAAACTATATGGTTTACTAGAAAATTTTTCAATAAAACAAGCTACATCTTGCGCCAAACTAATAGCTATTAGTCTTATTTTTATCCAATAAACACAATAATTACAATAATGATTCTTAACCAAACAAAAATCTCTTATGAGATTGCCACAATACCAACTACGACAATTAGTGTACGTTATAGAGCTAATTAATGTTACAACTTGGACTTCCTAATCCCCAATTTGTCTTTTTATAATCTCACCAGCTTTCTCTTTTGACTAATCTTAATGAGAAATTCAACAACTTGGGCCCCACAATCTTTCCTTACTAGAGCACTCCCTAGTCCCCAAATTTTCACGACAACTTCAATGTAACTTCACGCATTAAGAAATGTACGTTGAACTGGAAGCATAGAATTAGATCCTGGCAATATCAATTCTTAATATTTCCACAACTAGGCCCCACCCAACAGATGAAAGGCCTCTATTTTGTCTCGTCTGGAATGCATTGAAGTCTTCAAAACAAATCTCAGCCGTTTGATTAAACCGTTCCAGTCTTCCGGTCACTCTCCTCTTCTTTATATACACCTCCACAGCTAAGCTCCATTACAATTTCTATTCATTTTCTCTGAATTTCTGTTCTTGATTTGTTTTGGGGGCTTTCAGTTTTGTGATGTGGGTTCAGCAAATCTTGAAACTGGATTAAGGATTTTTTTTTTTTTTTGTTTTTGGGAGGAAAAAATGGCTGTGGAAATGATGGGGTATAACAACGTGAACGAGCAAGTGGCGTTGCAGGAGGCGGCGACGGCGGGTTTGAAATCAATGGACCATTTAATTCACCTGGTTTCTCATAAGGAACAACAAAACAGGCAAATCGACTGTACAGAAATAACTGATTTTACGGTTTCTAAGTTTAAAAAAGTTATACCTATTTTAAAGCGGACTGGCCATGCCCGTTTCCGCCGTGCTCCGGCTCAACCTTCGACATCGGAGCGGTTCACTTCAGTTGAGTATCAAAATCGTGCTTCTGGGTCCTGTCAATTGCCTCCGGAGCATCCCCCAGTTTCCGAGTATTATAAGCCTCAGCCGAATCTTAATCTCAATCTTTTCCCTCTATCTCCCGTAGCTGCTTTGGCGCGGGAACCGGTTCCAGCACCGGCATTTACGCTTGATTTCACCAAGCCAAGCGTGGTAGGTTCCAGCCCATTTGCTAAGGAGTGTACTAATGACGTGATATGCAAAGAGGGTTTCGGCTTATCGGCGGCGCTATCGACGTCAGGGAACTCATCGACGACGTTCGTTTCGTCTATCACCGGCGACGGGAGCGTGTCAAACGGCAAAGGTGGGTCGTCCTCTATGTTTACGATTCCGGCAGTCCCGTCAATCTCCACTGGAAAGCCTCCAATCTCTGGGAAGAGGTGCCGGGAGCACACCCAGTCCGATAACATATCCGGCAGGTGCCATTGCAAGAAGAGGTGCGTATTATAGATAATTAAATTTATTAAATTATTTTATTTTCTAATAATAGTTTTAAACTACTAAAATCCGAAACCGATTTTGTTGACTTTCTTTTTTTTAAAATTATTATTAGAAAAAAACAAATCGTCATCTACCTAGCAGCGCCTTCCGGGTCACAATAGCATCCAAAGTCGCCGTGAAAACGACGTTGCCTGTGACCAAAGTCATCCTTGACAGCTACGTTGTCTGAACGTGTTTCTATGTTGACCGGTGCGTCCGTTAGTGGGCACGGTCCTGTATTTTTGTCTGGACGTATCCGGCGTACAGTAGAATTAGGCCCGGGAAAATGCCGTGTTACACCCCCTCACATGGAGGGGTCCACACGTAATAAAAATATTCGTGAACCCCCTCTATACGAGGGAGAGTGTAAAGCCGTGTGTACACACAACATGGTCCATTAGGCCGGTCGTTCTGCGCACGTTAAGAATTTCTCATGATATTCAATTTTAGGTCTAAAAATTATTTCACGAGCTTAGTTAGCCTGTTTGACTATAATTATTTGAAAATTCTTTTCTTTTTTTGTTTTAAAAAATTCTCATTTTCAATTATATATTTATATAATAAAATATTTTGTATGTGAAATCGAATTTTTTTTCCCGCTTTTATCAAATATTCTTCTTAAAAATAGTATTCAAAACATTGCTTTTCTCACATAAAGATGGCTTGGTGTCCATTCAACACATTGCAGTCAAACTGACTTTATAAAATCATATCACCTTGTCGCTCGTTTAACTATGCATTACGGCCTCGACGAAAATTATGGATTTAATGTATTAATTTTGCAGGAAATCCAGGGTGAGGAGGACAGTTAGAGTCCCAGCTTGTAGCTCCAAAATTGCAGATATTCCAGCTGACGAGTATTCGTGGAGAAAGTATGGCCAAAAGCCAATCAAGGGTTCCCCATACCCACGGTAATTACTATGAGCCATCAATCTTGATCATATAATCACAACGAATTTGTACACACAAGTGATGTATCCTTTCTTGATTTTCAGGGGTTATTACAAGTGCAGCACGGTAAGGGGATGCCCCGCTAGAAAGCACGTGGAGAGGGCAACCGATGATCCATCAATGTTGATAGTAACTTATGAAGGGGAGCACAGGCATACGCAACACGCGATGCAGGACGGCACATCTGTTGGGGACGATCAATTTGTTGTGTTTGAGTCAGCTGAGAAGTGAAGAAAAAGAAACAAAGTGAAAGTTAGACGAAAGTTGGGCGTCTTTGTAAGTTCTAGGTAGTTGGAGGGGGTATTAGTAAGGGAAAATTAGAAACGGAATAGCTAGAATTGTGGTCTTCTTGTAAAATTTGTTAAAATAGAGGACCAGAATTGGCAAAAAAGAAAAATGTCTAGATTTATGATTTTTAGTTTAATGGATCCTTCTTTTACTGAATTATTTATCAAGAGAGCTAGCTTTGATTTCACTTAGATGATAATATGTTAATCTTGTTAATGATGGTTAATGTGGTAACACCATGGAACATCGAACATTGATGGTAAAAGATGTAAATATAAAAGGGGATTGTTCCTCCTGCACATGAATTTGATAAATATTTTTGACAAATAATCGTGACCTTTAGATGAAGTAAATTCAACGGTCAGTATGTATTTCACTAGGATCATGAGAGAGTTTGTTATAACTATTTGAGATCCATGAGATACTAACCATTGGATTTGCTTCATCCAAAAGTCACGATTATTTGTCAAAAATACTTGTCAAATTCATGTCTACGAGAAACATTTCCCTATACAAAAGTCATAAGTCAGATGATAATATGTTAATCTCATTGACGATGGTTGATGGTTTAAACTTAATACATAAATCATAAGTTAGAGATCTTAACACAAAACTCGCAAGTTGAAATCCTCTCCTGCAATTTTTCAATATTTAATTCAACCTAAGCATAAATTTTAATGGTGTAAATATAATATATATAAAATTATAAAAGAAACGTCAGCCAAGAAAGTCAAAAGAGTTTGGTGCAAGTGGGGTTAGAAATAGCTGGACTTCACAGAATGTTCTTTGACTAGTCATATTTTATCATATACCCGTTTGTTAATTTAAACCTTCTTAGCTCATAATAATTTCATGTCAAAATTTTAGACGATTTTGAGAATTAATTTTATTATTTTTGTTTGACTAAATTTATTTAGTATATTTTATTCATTACGCCTCACATTATGAGGTCCCAAATATTCTACGTGACAAGTAAGCGTGGGCCCCACAACCCGTGTCAAAAATACCACGAGGCAGTTATAATTGAATCTCTTGAAATGGCCGAACCAATTTGTTTACAGACCCATTTATATAGACTCCATTGGGAAGAAACGAATTACGAAGCGGAGGCAAGGCCATGAGAGAAGTTCGGCACGAGATCTTTTAGCCAATATTTGTTATATGATCGATGCGGCAATTCACTGTTGTCATTGTCATTTCTAACCTATCAGGTCAAGTCTAAAGCCATAAGCCATTTAATGTTTATAATTAATTGACGTATTCGACAAGAGGCACTGGTTGTGTAGATGAGGCCTAGTGTCTCTTCATCCAACGGCTCCTATTTACCTTTTCCTATTATAAAAGTTCACGCTGAATGTCATTTCAAGATAGTGCTGGTTTTAACTCTCGACCTATTACTTTGCCATATCATTGTTTTATCTATATTTCCCCAAATTGACCTACCCTTTTACATTGGAGGCTCACGTCTAAAACATTCTTGCACATATTCTCCCAACTTGATCACTAGAGTGTGAGTGGCCAACTCCATCCCCAACGCAGGAAGTCACGTGCAATTAACGACTTGTTCAAGTGTGCAGGAACTAGGCTTGCATGGACGTGAGAGGTTTTGAGATTTATTGGCTAAGTTGGAGGTACAAAATTCGAGGTCAACATTATTAAAACAGTTTTGTTACTTGCACAGGGCCTGTACAGGCACTGTGCAAATGGGCCCGTGCAGAGAATTTTTTTCTTGTTAAAACTTTTGCATCTCAAAAGTACATTGTTAAGAAAAATATATTTAAGAAATTGGGAGGAGTTTAAATATGCAAAACTAAATTATATAGTAACAATTACTATGGTGGTAACTGAACTTTTATCCTAGTTGTAATCGGATCACTCAACTTCAATATTAAGCACCAAACCAAAGATAAGTCAATACTACCCAAAGAGCTCTAATACACAGTACTTTTTTTTTTTTTTTTAATAGAATGTAGGTATTATCAAATAGTGAAAATAATGGGTTTCAAGACTCGAATTCATAAATTTCCAAATCAAATCAGTAATAAACAAATTCAATTTTAAGCAAATAAAAAAAAATTATAGTTATTAGATCCTACCCAAGCATTGACCCACCCCATCGAGGTACTGGCTCATCAAGTTGCTAGTTGAACCGATGAATGGGTGGTCGAATTGGAGGATAATGGCTTAAAATATTTTCAAAGTATAAATTTTTTCGAGACGGAGTTTTTAAGTTATTTGACATTAATTATTTGTATGTCTTTAAATTAATGATTTTGTAAACTTATTCATTAGTGATAATGATAACGTTTTGATTTTATAATTATTAGTTAAAATTGAACGTGCATTGTACACTATTTCAAAATACTTTATAAGTGATGTAAGGGTCTGTTTGATTGTAAAGATGAAATTTGGATGGAAAGAAAATGAATTTCAGGGAATTGAATTGCCTAGAAATTATTTTCCTGAGAATTGTAAATTATTGTATTTGATTGGTATAATTTTTCACGTGAAAAATGTTGAAATAAAAGTTTTTTTTTATTCGTTTGACTTTGTTTTACATAAAAATTGTCAATTAAAAAGATGTAATTTACTGGTATTGGGGATGAAATTTGTTTTCATTGCAAAAAAAAAATCAAGAAAATCATATATCTTTCGGTATTCGTTTGGCTTTGTTTTACATGAAAATTGTCTATTAAAGGAAAATATTTTTTTACAATAATTCTTAGAATTTGTTTCCATTACAAAAAAGAAAAAAAATCAATAATAACCGGAAAAATCAATTATCACCATATTGGTGGGAATTGATTTTCCCACAAAAGCTAGAAAATTACAACTCCCAAGAAATTCAAGAATTTAATTTTCATGGAAAATAAAACACTTTCAAACACACAAACATTGAAAATTGGCATTCTAATTTCATTTTCCCTAGAAAATTGGTACATATCAAACAATGCCTAAAAGTAATATTAGATATTAATTTGTTGAAGGATTTGATAAGTTTCGGACGAATTAAAGAAAATAAAATTTAGTGTAGAAATTTAAGAGAAGAAAATTGTACACAAATTATATTCTCAGAACTCAATTTCTATAATTCAATTTTTTTATAATAATAAAATATTATAACGAGCAATCTTTTTATATTACACCGATACATAATAATTAATTGCTAATACATAAATTTAAACACCCATTAAAATTTTTAGATACATGAATATGAATAAATTTATAGATTCATCAAGTGAAAATTCATTAAATCTAGAACACAATAATTTCAGAGTAATATTATTATATATTGAAAAACGAAAATAAGGTATTGTTAAAATAATTGATTTTGGGGGGGGGGGGGGGGTAAAAAACAAAAAAGTTTTGTGTGGGGGGGGGGGGGGGGGGGTTAAAATCAACAAAAAAAATAATTCTCTATTGATTACAATAATACTTATTTGTACACAATATTTATTTTTTAGTGAGCGAATGTCCCAATTAATATATTAATGCAACCTTTCAATTTAATAGCCTCAATTAAATAATAACCTAATGGATGAATTATAATGTAAATCATGAAAAGTAATAAGGACTTTGTTGATGAAAAATAATAATTGCTTTGTTAATGAAAAATAAAAACTCAATGGATGAACTGTAATGTAAATCATGAAAATTAATAAGGGTTTCGTTGATGAAAAATAAAAAATTGCTTTGTTGATGGAAAATGAAAATTGTAAGAACAAAATACGCAATTGAATGATAAGTCTAATTTCTTTCTTCTTTATTATTATTATTATTATTATTATTATTATTATTATTATTATTATTATTATTATTATTATTATTTTTGTTAATAATTGAATGTCGGTTTCACTCCTTATATTAATTCCAACCCAAATGATAAATATCAATTGAATATTTCACCACTTATGTTAATTCTAAATCAAATGATAAATATTAATTAAATTTGTAATAAGAGTTTTGTTTATGAAAATTAAAAATTATAAAGAAAAAAAATCAATTGAACGTTAGTCATTGAATTTCCATGTGTAATTTCTTTTTTATTCAGTGAATGTCCTCATTAATAGATTAATGCATCATTTAAGATATCTGTAACCTCAATTAAATAATAAGTTAATGGATGAATTATAATGTAAAGTATGAAGATTAAAAATTGCCCTATTGATGAAACCAAAAAAACTCATTGCATGAATTATAATGTAAATCATGGTGATTAATAAGGGCTTTGTTGAAAAAAATAAAAATTTTAAGAACAAAATGGTTAGTTGAATGGCAAGTCACTGATTTTGTTTTTTGTTTTGATATAATTGAATATTAATTTCACTCCATCTATTAATTATAATCCAAAATGATAAATATTAATTAAATATTTTACACTTTATATTATATTAATTCTAAATCAAATGATAAATACTAATTAAAAGGGTGTTTGATAGTCATTTTTATGTAAAAATGTATTTTGAAATAGTAAATTGATGGGAAATATGTGGTTGAAAATTAAGAAAAAAATTTTGATTTACGTATAATATTATTTTAATGAAGAATGTGTGTTTGAAAAAAAGAGAGAGAGAAATGCATTTTGAAAAAAAATGGGTATCAAACGGGGCCTAAATTGGTATTCCAATTATGAGGGAACAATGGACATATAGTTAAATATGTAGGGGTAAATTTGGTATTTAAAAGTTTTTCTACCATCCCCAATTTTAATATATTGTAGAAGATGTAGATAGATATAGATATTATAGATTATAGATGTCTATTATATTAATAAAATTATAATATTCACATTTTGGTTGGGTAAAAACCATTGTTCGTTATAGAACAAAAATTTATGTTATTATATATTCAATTCATTTTAATTTAAATTAAAATTTTCACAAATAATAAGTGTATAAGATAATTATTTGGTATTATAGAATGAAGTAAAAATATTGGACAAATTTCTTTCCCAATATTTCTTCCAAACCGAAAAAAATTGAGTAAAAACAAAGAAAACCAGCATGATTTGTTTGAAAAATCGAAGAGGACAATCAAAAGAAAATAAAAAAGGAAAAATAAAGTATAAGATTATTACGCTAAACATGTCGCTGCAAAATATCCTTAAAATATATTTTGCTCCTTGCACTGGATGCTATCAAGTTTTTATGGACGCCTCTTTCAAAATCATTGCTTCTTTCAAGATTA